TTATGAAGAATATGAATATCAGCCTCTATGGAAGAAATTAAAGGCTTCAAATCTACTGTAAAATCACTATTTTCATAGGGGTTTAATTTTTATGGTTTTTCGAGGTATAAAGAGACCCACGAACTTATGTATTCCATGAAATGTAATTTTCATATATAACTACTCACCAATTCTTCATCCACGAAAATTAATCCCCATGAACGAATTTTTTCACTCAAACCCCTCGAAAATATGTGATTTTACAGTATCCGCTAATATTTATTTGAGTTTTGAATGTCTTAGACCAAAGACTCATTAACTAAAAAACCTCGGTTAAAGATAAAGGAAAAAAACTAATATTGACCTGGTCTCCTTATGTATCTGATAGTGTCACAAAAGTGAAAAAGATGTCAACAACAAAACAGAAATACAATTCCCCCACGTACTTCTGAGTGGCCCTAGAAAGCAGACTTTTTAATCTGATACCGGAAGTCCATTCCTGAAACAAAAATAGGCTACGAAATTAACATGTGCTAGATTCTCGATCGTAAATGGCCTCTTGCTTGAGAATTTAAAAACTTCATTGCTATTTGTCATGAGAAGTCACGCAGACTGAACTGTGCCATTTTTAGGAATTAAGTTTGCTATGGTTATATTATATATCATGATATTTGATGTTTAACTCCACATTTTGAACAAGTTATGAGGGGGGTTCATATAAGCAATCAACGTACAAGTTTTACTGTGGGTTTTAGAGGTTTCAATGTATTATATTTCTAACGTTAAATAATGATGGACATATAAAAACCCTGTATTTGTCCATCATAATTCGTTATCTCTTTCATATTCTTCAGCTCGAAAAAGCTTGTCCTATCTCAGCTTTTGATATCTTGCCCAGCAAGCATTTTTGCAATATTATTTTGTCATGAGCTTGACTTGAAATTCCTAAACCTTTTTAGACATTAACAAGAGACCAGATATCAAATTAAAAAATTGAGGAATATATTCGGAATAGATTTATGTTAAGTTTCAATGGCCAAACACGAACATTTGTTAGATCATAGCAAAATACATCTGACTCTTATATTTTTTTGTCTGTAACCTTGCACACAGTTAATTTTTTTGTCAGCGAATCAGCAAATAATTTTTATTGTGAAATGTCCCGAATTGCTGCCTTAAAACGCTTCATTGATATGATTTTTATGTCAATAATTGCTTTTTTTTCAATATTTTCTTATTACTAATTTACATATTATTACAAGCTTGAAATGTACGTTACATACTCATATTCTGAGGCAATCGTGTCTTTATAGTGGTGATTGTGACATATAACACAATGTGATTACATACTTTTTATTAAACATAAATATATCTTGAAATGTACGTTAATGTAATAAAAATCATGAGAATCAGGTTTTTTCGTTGAAAATTGGTTACCAACTCCCAATCTGCTTACGCCAGAGTAAAATCCTGAACCTTTCGTCTCATTTACAGGTCGTCACAAAACATTCAGATTTGGTTACAGCTCTTATTGTTAAATGAGATCCTTGAAACATGCATGATTATTTGAGAAATGTCATTTTGAGAGGAAATTAACTGGAAAATTGTCTAACAAACAGATCTAGACGGACAAGGATTACAACAATATCTTACAGTTTTCTACATTAAAGTGATTATCATTCTACCCGTTTTTATTTATGTAAAGGTGCATAGACACAGATTTGAAGTTCATATTTTCTGTATAATATCACGAATAATATATTGTTATAGCATTTAACACGAAAATATATTAAGGTAGTCCAATCCTCAGGTTTACAAAATCAGCAGTTAAGTAATCAAAAATACTCATAAAAGTGTCTCTGAATCCACAAAGATATGTAAATTTATCCACAGTATTTCTTTAAAGTTACATATTAAAGTTAATCATATTATACATGTATAGGGAAAATTGTCAAATTGTCATGATTTTTATACTTATTTGGTATTTTTTGTCTTCTTTTCCGTCATGTATTCTATTATACATAGTGTAAAAGGCTTTTGTGTCATTGCAAGACACCACAATTCACTTCTTATTTCATATCATGCTAATAAGCATTGGTATCTAAGGCTGAATTCAAGAAAATCTTATTTCTCTAAAACTGTATTATTTTTTTCCCTTTTTATAGGGTACAAATATCAACTTTTATAAGACCTTTTCTATGACTTCCAAAAACCTTGAAACTTATAAAGATGAATAAAATGAAAATTGTTGCATGAAAAAAAAATCATTTTCAAGCTTTATTTTGATGCATTTCAAATAAATATTAATTTTTGGAGTTATCCTTCCTGGCTGCGGATCGAATATCCTTAAAGATCTTATTTCATTCAAAAGTTATTGAAACTTCAAATTTTCCGATGGGTTTGATTGACACATCCTTGCACTTTCACAAATCTTAATTTTATTCTTTCTAGGAAAAGTGGCAATCTTTTTGTGTTTAAAGAAAAATATCTAAAATCTTAATCCAGAAAATTATTATATTCAGAGTAGAAATGTTCGAAAGCAAAACCTCTTCACAAGTATCGTCATTCCGCGCATAGTGTTGTGTACAGAGTTTAGCAAATTGAACACACCCGTGAAACGTACACAGTTTTTTGTAAAGCGGGCACGAGCTCTGTTATTGCTAAGGTTTACGATTCACCGGGTGTGTTCAATTGTTGAAGTCAGCTCACCACAACTGCTCGGACTGACAATATACTGTGTGTATGTTTTGCTTTATAACATATCTACTCTGGATTTTCTAGATTATAGTTTTAAAAGTTTTCATTAATACACAGCAAGATTGCCACTTCCTAAGTATTAAGAATAAAAATTAAAATTTATGAAAGTGCAAGGATGTGTCAATCAAACCCGTCCAAAATTTAGAAGTTTCAATGACTTTTGAATGAAATAAGATTTTTAAAGTATTTTCGAATGAAATGCTATTGCAATATATAAGTCGTGATATTATACAGAAAAATGAGAAAATATTAACTTCAAATCTGTGTCCATGCACCTTTAATATTGGATCCTTCAATCCAAGATTACTTAGTGCTTCAAAATAATTTATCCTTGCTAATGTTGCTGTGTAGACCTTTCCGTGCACAGTTATAAATGAAATTCATTGAATACCTCTCCCACATAGTAGACTCGGATATTCTTCATCAATTAATAATTATCAAATCTTCTAGATTGTCTAAACAGACTTGCTTATTTTTGATACGCAGAAGAATGCATTTAAAATGCCATTTGTTGTTCGCAAGGATAACGTTAGTTGATAGATTAATGCACAACATAAAAAATAGATAAAGGTAGAATTAAACCTAACCTTGTTAGATACACATGAAATAGAAAATGTTCGCAAACCAACTTTCTCTATTCCTCGCTCGAAATCAATTACATTTTTTTCTTTGCCTAATCAATGGGGTGATGACTGCCTCTAGTAAATAAATCAGAACCGTATCCGTAAGCACAATATACACGTCGCTGCCATATCTGTCTGTTTTACATATCTTTAGTGCTGAATCTTTATCATCCATGATAAGCTGTATTCAGTGATAACACTTCATTAAGTCCTACCTACTTTTGTGTCATAAAACTAAGAGCTTTGTTAATTGATAAAGCTGATGAAAACGATCAATTCAACTCTTCGATAACATAGATATGTTGTTTTCTGTGATGAAAATTCCTTTCATACAAAGTTATAGATCAAAGGATTTTTTCTTTGCTTTTGTCAGCTAATTAGTTTCATTGATATTTGCTATGTTTATATTCGGAGATTTTAAAAATAAATCCATCACTTTGTTATAGCTGCCATTTCTAATAAAGATATAGCCCCTATACATATGCAATCACTGTTAAACAATTCATACTTCGTGATAAATGAGGGGGTATTTTGGAGGTTAAAAGGACGGGAAACAAACATTCCCTAATTAGCATCGATTCTACTTTCAAAATATTGGAAATTTTCAACTTCACAGCAGTATCAGAGACAGCAACTTGTTTCAACTCACCAGGGAAACATAAACTAAGAAAAATATCGGTTACTGAAAAATGCATTTAGTTTGTACCTTTTAAGTTAAAAATCCACCATATTTGATTGTGGGACAGTAATTATTGTCCCCAAGAGCGTTTCAGATCTCTCTTTAACACAGCAAATGCTTTTTTAAAACATCGACAACAAATTGTGTAGGAGTTAGCTTTGAGCAACCAAAACGTCACATTTAACCTGAATCCAAAGGTTTCACTAATGACAAGAAAAGAGCTTTAACGATACATATAGTCAACTTAAAATACACAAGTATTGGAAGCATAATTTGGTTATTAGCAAATTATAGGTATCGAATTATTCCTAACGAAGCATACGTCCCGTGTGACAAAAACTGATTGATGGGAAATTAATCAAATAGTACATGATTGTTTGGTACAAGCAATATATAGACGCCTAGACAATTCGATGACTTAAAATTATTGAGACTTTGGAACGATGTCAATCTAAAATGTAGATTTTTATGCGGGGTTGTATAGTTTTAAAGGATTTTTTTTAAGCATTACTAATGCATATATCTAGTTTTTGACCACTTAATAAAAATCACTTTAAAAGTTTTCTACAGTGTTTTACAAGATATACTGATATTGATCGATATTTACCTGCATTGCAGATATTAAAGCTTAAGTAATTTCTCAGGCTAAAAGCACGTGAATACTTTTATTTCTTTAAACATGTACGGACAAAGATGGTCACCCCTAATATAAAACATTTAATTTCACAGTTACTTTAAATGACTATCTTTAGAGATATGTAAAACTTCCTTTTCAGAATAAGAAGTATTAGAAGAGAATGTATATAGTTTAAAACCCATTTTTAATTTCAATCAGTATCAAGAGAAGAGTAAAATAATCATATCTCTATATATTTTAATATATAATCCTTCTTAATTAGAATCTAATTAAGAAATATTATAAGCACAAACAAAAAAAACTTTAAAAAAACTACTTTTCTTACTTCATAAACATGACCACACCGACTTTGCTGATGTCTTGCTTCAGAGCTCCCCACGACTCTTGTAAAGCTTCTATCTGATTATCCGTCAAAACCGGCTCCACAAGCTCAAGTCTCTTTTTGTGTTTTAGATTTTTATTCCCTTTAAAGTTCACAACTGCCTTGGAGTCAATATTTCCCATCCTTATTTGAAACAATTTTTTTGCTAACTAGAATTAAAATTCCTTTTGCATAATCACTTCTATGATTTTTTATCGTCTGGTCATCCAGCTTGTGTTTTTGTGTTCCATTTACTAATGTCTGAATCTAATGGTGTCGAATCGATTCAACCTTTGGTTAAAATCACCTAGCCCGCCTTCTCATAAGTGCAATTGTTTATTATTTTGGATCCTTACATGGCATCGATCAAATATATAGCCACTGAAAGCTGACTGAAAACAAATCCGATCAGCGATAAAACCAGTTTCCGGTTTTTATGGATATAATCATGTATAGTTTATATAGCGGACATGTGTGGAAATGGGGGCCGTTCAAAATTATATAATTTTAATTCAAAATGATGATTCCTTTTATTTAGAAGTGACAAAATTGTAAACACTTAAAACATGTTTGATTAGATATACATTCATATATTAGATGAACACTGAAGTTTAGAAATAAAAAATATGTTCTTGCTTTGAGATAAGAAAAAATATGTTTATTGTAAAAAAGCTGTTAAATGTTTCAATGACTTTTTCCAAACTCTTTTTCATTTACAATAAAATAAGACCTTATAAAAGTGTTGATTTTTTGTTGAAGAGTGGCAGCATACCGGTATCTGATGATTGCTCGGCAGTTTATTTAGATTTTGTTAATTAAGTCATGAACATCCTTTTCAGTGTACCGACACATTAAAACAGATTTCGAGAAGTTCTAAGTGTCTACTTAACCTTTATTGATATTCGTAGATATGGTATTCTCTGAACTACATGTATTTAAAACCAATGCAGTACTTTTAGAATGCAAAGCTTCACTTTCCATTTATTTTAATTTTTTAAAGAAAATTTGAGAATCAACTTAAGAATTATTTGCATATTTACAAATAGTGGTGGGTTTTCCTCAAGGACTAACTTCTCTATTTTTTTGTTCAAATTAAGTTACAGACAGTTGTGATAACAATATCATTATGAAAGAAATTATTATAGTGCCAATGCCTGCACAATCGTCTTTTATGAATAATCTAAATCACAAACAACCCTTAAATTTTTATTATGTTTTTAATACCACATGGTTTCCTTTCAATATTAGATATAGATTATTTAGTACAGGATTAAAGAGTAGTGGGTGATGCCAATTTTTTGTGTGATGCCTGAGCAGTAATATATGAAAAATTTTAAGAATACAAGCATTTGTTGATAAAGCGTACTTTGAAGGGTGTTGATGCAGTTATAAAACAATGTGACAGATGTTGAACCTGGTTCTTGAATCATGTGTAACAGTTATGAAAGATACCTTGGTTTATGATTATCACAATTTTGTAACACTCTTTTTGGAGATAACGAGCGAAAAAAAAATCAACAACTGCATACTATCACAAAGTATACATTTTATAAGCTTTTTACTGTTTGATGTGATTTCGCTTACATGAGTACATAAATGCTTAATTTCAAAAAAAATTACACAGGAAGATTTCCTCATACTCTGATATTTATATGGCTTGCCAAGTTCATAATAAAAAAGCATTAAACAACTTTACTCATAAAATGTCGTTGTTTTGTCGAATGTTTGAGTCTAGTTTTCATTTATTTTAAGAGGTTTACCTATTTAATCGATGCATAATGGATTTTCCAATTTTGCAAAAATTATCTACCAGGCAATTCTCAGAAAGCAGGATTTCCAGTAATTTTTGTTCAAGGTACTAATTGTGCTCCTTTACCAGCAGAATGTTTTTTACATTCCTAAGATGCGGACTTTATGTATATTTAAAAAAAAAAATCCTCCTTTTTCTGACCCCCATTTTGTTAACTGTGTTTTACTTTTCCGTCATTTACTTTAATAAATGACATATTTCACTTCAGCATGATGTTATTTGTTTTTGCCTGTTTATCAAAAAACAAGCTCAGTCGTTTGGCAGGAGAACTAAGGAACATAAAGAATGTTTTTTACATTCCTAAGATGCGAACTTTATGTATATTTAAAAAAAATCTCTATAGAGTAGAAGAAGACTCTTGTTGTTGCCTTCAACCTTGACATTCAGCTATATCGACGACGTGTTACCAATTAACAATAGATAATTCCATTCATATGTCGATTCGATAAATCCGAATTCAAAATATCGACAAAAGATACCAAAGAGTCTACCACATCTCTTTCTTATCGAATATGTTTATTGACAAAATAGACAAAATTGCTGAAGCTTTTAATTTTCAAAAAAATATATGCATAATAAAATGTCACAGAAATAAAAAGGAATTAACATATCTTACCTTGTTCATAAATGTTAACGTAATTTTAACCAATTCAAAGATCAACGAGCGAACCACTATTGCCTGTATAGCCTTACTATTTGACAAATTTTGAAATCTAAACAACACACAATTTAAGCTTTTTAAATGACCTTGTCGGTGAATACAACCTATCATTGGGTCAAATGGTCACTGACGTTAAAAACTTTATCATTCTTATTGTTAGGCCACTATATACGCAATGAATTGTCAACGGATTCTTCCGTTTTTTGTCAATCATGACAAGGAGCACACGGCGGGTGTGATCGGTCGGCTGGGGAAGCTCAATCCCCCATGGCCCTGATCCCACCTTTAATGTTTAAAATGTCCATGTTTGCTTTGCCTCTGATTTGTATTGCTTTAATGGACTTTTGAACTTGAATATGATACATTTTTCTTCGTATATATATAATCTTATACTATGTGAGTGGCTAAATGAATAAAATGCATGCATTTGCCAGAAGCTAAAAATAAATCAATTTCTTCTTCTGAACACAAGGTAATACTCATAACTGAAATAATTAACAACCATAATGAATAGACTTCCTCTAAAGTAATGAAACAAACATGGCTTGTAGACATTTCAGGTCTCTTTTCCTAGAAATCAGAATGTCTTATTAACGAGAGACTGAATGTTGAAAATAACGAGGCAATTTAAAAGCTGACAGAAATGTCAGTCTTAGATATAACTTGAAGTGAAAACGAGGTTGTTGTTTGCATGTTTCTATGACACCATGAACTGATTCTGACAAAAGAAATTGAACACATTACTCAGATGTTCGTGGAAAAAGGTAAACAAATAAGAAAGAAGGAAAACATTGGCCATGAAGACTTCAAATCTATAATTCGATACTGATATCACGAGCAAATTATAAGACGTAGCAAAAGAAAGCATTAAATGTACAATGCAGCTCGGGCGCAATATTTCTTTTAAATATACGTATATGTATGCAAATATCAAACATAACTCTTTCATTAACTTAAATATGTCATTAATATAATGGCATTTATGAAATTATTAACAAAGATATAACTACAAGAAAACGTAATGGCACTGAAAGTGTAAATTTAATTTCAAGAAACAAAATACTTTGAAAAATGCAAATGGCAAAATTAAAGACCTATTTCACTAAAAATATACAAGATAAATAATGTTTTAATAAATTGCAAATGCTGATCTCGATTTCTCGTGTAAGAGAAAGATGAAGCAACTGCAAATATTTTCACCACAATAATCAGTTTACCATTAGCTATGCGTGCCGACAAACACTGAGCAAAGAAGCTTCAACATGTAGGTTATCTATTACAATCTTATATGAATAAACTCATTTTTTTTCTGCGAACAACCTATAGTTTTTATGTTACTTTCACAGACATACAGGGATCCTAGCTCTTGTTGTTTAAAAAGTGATAGACGTAAGAATGTGTTAATCTTATCAGATGCGTTTAGATCATTTACAAACAATTACCAACATTTTGGAAAACAAGCCCAATGAGTTTTTTCTGATAGGATTACGGATATTGAACTTTGTTTATAGAAAAAAAATTCTTCAATATAAAACATACCATAAATTGTATTTTTGAAAAATCCCGTTTTTCCACCTTGACTTCATTATTTATGTTTTTTTTTGCATCAAGATTATTTTTGTACATAATGACATTAATGGTAAAAATAAAAACTAGACTTTGAGATATTTTGGATGAATTAAAATTTTCTTTCCCCAATTTTCAGTTTTGAAAACATTATTGCCTGCATACGCCTGCATACGGATGGTATGTATACTTTTTGATTCGATTTGTAATAGCATATTCTATGTACGACAATATCTAAAACAAGGAAAGCTATTCAGAAATGGGTGAATGATAAGTTTATGTTAAAAGGATATCAGCAGTCTTGAATGAAGTCAACATTTCGCAAATTTTATGATGGATACAACAACCTTGTTTGCAAATACAAATACTTTTAAGTAAAATGTTGACATCCGTGTTTAATTCAAACTCTAAGGACATTATCTGCTTACTAAATTTAATAACCGAATTTCCTACAAGGAGTACATATAAGGGCAAACTTACTTCTCCATTGCGCCTGATCCTACTCCTTATAATCTCAAGGCTCCATATTTGCTCCACATCCGATATTAACTAATCTAATAGAATTTTGAACTTTTGAACTTGAATTACTCATCGTTATCTTCATATCTTATGCTAAAACTAATTTACTGGCCATGAGTTATGATTACATTTTCTTGAGTTTCTTGATTTTTCATGATGTTTTTACAGGCACATTGACAAATATGTTACTCATCATATATCTGTAAACATGAAAAGTATAGATTGCGAAAAGTAATCAATCATACGAATCCAGTTTATAAAAAAAATTGTGAACATAGCACAGAAAAAAAACCGGACCCTGGAAACACCAGGGGTAGTGATTGGTTGGGTATAACAGAGGAATAATCCTCCCTTAAATGTTAAGGTTAAATAAATGATGATGAAATATATGTTTTGTATGATTTCTGAATAAAAAGTAATTAATTCGTAAAGAAAACCACGTAGACTTTTCAAGAACAGATATTTTTCTTTGAGTTATGAATCCTCACCATATTACGGAACAATGCGTTCGAAACTATTTGAAATGAAAAAAAAATAATGTAAGATGGTACAAAAATAATCTGATCAAAATGAAATGGTTAGTAAACTTTACACAAAAATAGTCAACATTGTTTCTGCTAAAGGGCAAATCCAAATAATTTAATTGTTTGTTCAATATTGCACAGCTCTAATTGTTTATACAGAATATAGTATCTCATTAATCAATGAAAAAAATGAAAGATGTACAATGAAATATATGGAGATAAAGAACAGTGTTCAA